CGTACATGAATACTTACATTGACAGAATGTCGACGCCACCAGGCAAGACAACAGTAATAATACTTTCAGCATGTTTACCTCTAAGATGGTCTGCAACAATATTTGATATGACTATGGTTACACATGTATACGACTTGCGTATGTATATTTCTGTATATATATATTACTGATCATAAAATGATTGTCTTTATCATGAAAATGAAAGATATAACTATATGTAGACATACATATTCTTTATTTAATAACGATCAGGTTAGGAATGAAATACGCATGTTATTTTGTCTAAACAATCAAATATATGTCATGTTTTAATCACAACTCGTGATTGCTCACTCGTCAGGTATATTGAAGTTATTATATGTTTAGATGTCTATTTTCTATATTCTATTTATTTCATTGAAACTTTTTTTTAAAGACAAAATCAATCGTGTTTCCCATGTCTTCTTAAACACAGGTAAAGTATCAAGCTGTCCATACCGCATTTTTCAAAAAAAAATTATGAAATAGATATTAGTGTGTTTACACCATTTTTTTATGGTATATTACTTGACCATAAGTTTTCCAAAATATGATTTAAATGCTATAGTCTACTTGTGTTACCTTATCTTGATATATAATCACTTTTTCTTAGAGACGAGTACAACTGTGACAAAGTTACACCAAATTGATCAGTATAATAATTTTGTTTTCCCTTCTGTGAAATTTCCATTTCTTTATGGTAACATTCATACTGTCCTCGCATGAAGTGTTCACCTTCCGCAGTGAATTTGATATTCATGGAAGTGTTGCCAATATCAAGAAAACTGTTAAAGATGTCGTCAGCTGACATACATAATTATAAGGATTTCAAAAGATTCATTTTGATGAACACTTTAAGGGTCGCTACCACCACCTCACTGAAAAACATTATTTTTCTTTGTGGGATATGAAGTTAGATTACTTTGATGCGCATTGGAAGTTTCCTTGTTTTGAACATGATCCAGGTAAACTTCGTCTACAAAGCAGACACATGAAATTTCGGAACAGCTGGTCTTATTCTTCTAGTTCGCATTCAAATGGTCCTGTTTTATTGTTTCTCCCTTTTCCTATTCATCCCTTGTTTCTTTGCGTTTTAGATTAAAACAGTATTTTTAATCTTTAATTTTATTTTTTAGATCGAAATTCTAAAATTGCCAGTTGATAATGAATCCAGTAGCAAATGTATATCCCTCAATAAGTAATACCTTTATTTTATCAGTTATAAGTTAAATAATACTGTATACAGTACATGTTAATTGTATATCCTTGGGGTTTAATTTCGATCATGATAATTTGTTAGAGCACCTCCTATAAATATCAATAGCAAAACCATTATAAAATGTAGGTCGAGAATACGACAAATATAAATCTTTACTGTATGGTTTAATATAATTATATACACTTGCATTTCTTAAAATCATAATAGTTTTCAACTCAAACCTTTCGTAATATACTGTTTGCACACATACCTTACTCAACGGTAGTTCGATGGTGACTCTCCACAGCTTTTGTTGAAGTTCAAGCAATGGTTGTTGATATTAGATCCGATGTCCTTTTATATACTGAACATATGAGGAAGAAAGGTTAAATTTTCCAAATATAATAAATATCCATATCTATCTTATGTACGTCACAATCGTACCAGTGAGAAAAGGAAATTCCCGTTCTGAAATAATTCAAACTACGACGGTGAATTACGTATACAAGTAAACGACGCCTAAGAGTGACAGACAAACTTTAATGATTGATAGTATTTTCACAGCTATCGTTTACGTTGATCGATTAACTGAAACTCAATAATAGGTGGGCGCGTATAAAATATGTATGCTAATTAGAACTACTGTTATTTTGTAAGATTAAGTGTTTTCTTTTAACCAATCAGGTTTATTTCCTCGAACTTGATTACGATCACGTACATCTATTTTTACCTAATTATACTTATTGCTGATGTAAGATGCGTTCAGATGTTATCATCGATAGCCCAGTCGGTTAGAAAGAAAAATGACCTAGGTAACCTCGGGTGAAGTTCCATCCTAAGTACAAGTATATGTGGTTGTACGCTTCCTCTCAGTAGCAGTCTGTGTTTCTCAGAAAGCTATTAAGCTGTATTTCCTTGTTGTTTTCTCAATATAACGTCTTCCTATATCTTAAGTAAAAATGACCCTCCATAGTGAGTAGTTTTTTAAAATCTAGGTTATCGATCAAACATTATTTATTTTAAGGATGAATTGAAATACTATTTGTAGGCAAAGTTTATACTTGCCCTAACACATATTTCATAAGTAAATCCTGTTGTGCGATTTTGAAATCAGGTCACGACATACATGTTGTAAACTTGTACTAATTGTGCAAAAACCACACAAGAGAATAAGAGAAATTTAAAGTTGGATGCAGTAGAGCTAAACTCAATGATACCACGGGCGTAAATCATGAAGCCTAGGAGGCAACTCACACTAACATGTGTCTTTAAGAAAAATACACCGACAAGATTAAATCAATCAAGAGAATCCCTCGCATAATGTTCTCTTTTAAGCCTCTATCTGCCAAACTTTTCTACGGAATTAATGAGAATTGTGCAAACTAAATTATGACAGGAAATTTTCGATAGTTTGAACAGCGTTTGTAAACTTTGCAAACCGAAAATCTTTTTGCTTCTTCAGATGAATTATATTCGGCAAAACTGACAAACTGTTAATACGTGTAATCACTTGTTAGTTCTGGAATACTAATCCCGCCAGCTCATTGGTGGTTAGAACCATTGTGTTTACCTTGAAAGTTTTTAGTGTGACAATATAAGTTTTATGAACATTGGTATATATATTGATATATTTCGAAAAATGGTGATTTCCAAACGTCCAAATGACACAGAACCGGTTATTGATTGCGGATTGCAGTACATCAGCTAAGCGGTTGATCCAAAACCTAAAGGACTCTTTGCATGGTGGGAGCTGGAGGTCGCACACCCCTGATCACACCTAGATACTTGTGGCACCTTTTACTTTTATCAAATTAGATAAACCTTGTACCTAATTACAAAACAGCCTATAGCATTATTTAAATCTGTTAAAAGATCAAATTTCAGCATTTTCATCTGGCGTCTATTTAGGAGATTTTTAGTAAATTATACCAACAATTTTTCTACTGTTGTAGCATAAATATTATGATTAACTATTTGTTTTTATGTAAAGTTTTCTGTTTGAATTAGGACAGGAGATATGTTGGCATACTTGAAACAAAAAATATATTAGTAGTAGGACTAAACTGGATATTGATTGAGATAGGTCCTTAGTTAGATCAAATATACTGATTTATGTTACAAAACAAATACACAAACAACTACAATGAAAGTAACACTACTATCAGGAACGTTTAGTTGAATTAATAACCAGGTTAATAATTATATAACTGAAATCACACACCATGCATCAATACAAGTAACTGTTCACATCAATGCAATCTATGGATCAATAACATATGAAATTGATGCAATTGTGTGTTTGCAACAGATGTATATGGCATGAGGCGAAATATAGTTTGAATTTTAAACACGTCAGGATTCTGTCCCTTTCTCTGATTAGTGGTACGTTGCTACTGAGAGATAACGATATACAATTTATATTGACAGTCCATTTTTTATCCTAACGAAGTAATATCCTCCAAATTTCATTACTGGTTCATTACCGAATCAAATGGAATACTGAATAATAAATGTAATTTTTTTCTGGGGTATTAAAAGATATTCAATATGATAACGTGGAGTCCCAAAATTCCCCATTGTTGAAATTAGCAAAACATATGAAATTCTATCCATATTTATGATAAAGAAAATATGGGGGAAAAAATGAAACATGTCATTATTTACTTTCTTCTGCAATAGATGTTTGAGTTGATTAAAGAAAACTTTATTGCTGTATCTTATAAACTTTTGAAAATGATTATTGGTGATGATCTTAGGAATTTAGTCCATAGTAAACACGTGTGTATCTTAAAATATCCATAAAGGGCATAGGTAATGATTTTCAATCGTTTTATATATTTCATTTCAGGTTAATATGAAGCTCTGTTGTAATATGGAACACGTCGCCTCTCACCACCCATACGTAAGCGACCTAAGGGATACGCCACCTAACTGAATGTTCTCACGTACATATCTTCTGATTGATAACGAGGCTCACTGACTAAATAATCCCATGAAACGTTTGATCATTTTTTTAAAACCAAATTCGTGTCCTATGTCTTTTAAGATAAATAATATGTATTTTCATTTTGCGATTTAAATATATCCTCATTTCACATTTTGTCATCTAATAGCATTGCCCTCTGATGTTGACGTCTTTCGTTTTTTCCAGCATCCCAGCATCTACAGTGACAGGAATCCAGAAAAATAGAGACTTCCCAATGAAACATTCCCCCTATTAATGGCTCCGTTTGACATGAAGACATAGTGGATGACACAGAAGCCGTCCATCTATCTAGGCCACTCAGGTTTGTACTCTGTATTTTTGACATGTAAACATATAAAGTTTCCTTTACTTATACAGCCGAACCTTGTTGTCTTGAATTGGTATAACTCGAAGACCCCGCAGAGTTCGAGATAAGGAGGTTCAACTGTATTTTAGTGAATTGTTAGTTGGAATTGCATTTTTTTAATTATCTTGTTGGCTCTCTTTCAATAACAAAAACATTATTCAAGCATTTAGTGAGAAACACAAATACATGTTCTTGTAAAAGGAAAGTTATTAGTCCTAGGACAATATATAAATAAGACATTTGTCTTTATATTTATTACACATTTCAATTTGTTTATCTTTTATAATTAGTAAAGAGGCACCTATCGTACAACACGGAGATACACTTCCATATGTGTATGTTTGTCGTTTAAAAATCATATCTCTCGCAAAACGTATATGGTAACATTAGGAGTACGTTCAATAATAAACCAATTGTAACGCTCTGGTAGACTTTATTAATGTTTTATCTAACTAGTTATAAGATCTAACTGGTGCTTCAGGCCTAACTCCACGTCTGTTTGCCCACTGACTTCCTCTGGTGTCTCTCCAACTATCATCCCTTCTGTCTGTCCATCCACTGCTACCCTGTCTCCAGCGACGATCTACACGTCCTGTCACAAAGTCATCGTTAATCCTAGGGCCCACATTTCGTCCTCTAAAGCGACTCGCACTGTCTGAGCCGACTCCTCGACCTGTCACTAAATCGCCAAACCCAAAACCTGTTCCTCTTTCTCCAAATACACCTGCTCTTTTTTGGCCTGATACCTGACCACCAAACACAGCATCTCCTCTGCGTCCAGAAACCAGACCGGCAAAGGCGGACCCTTCTGCACGTCTGCCGAAAAATCCACCTCCATCACGTAGCGGACCAGTGGTTGCCACCCCGCCAACATTCTCTGGGCCTATACAAATGATAAGATATCAATCGTCATACATTGCATTATCAATGTGTTTGTAACTATCTAAATAGGTTTTGTTGTATCACCATTTTAATACATGTACATCGTTTAACGATAACATTTCAATTACATTTTTACTTTTAATTGAAACAGCAATAACAACTATCACCTCTCTGCTTAGTGCTAAGGAGTATGGAACACACCTGTCATAATAAGTGTGTTAGTAATGCGTTTAGTTAAGATTAACAATGTGCTAACGTCATTTGATTGATAAAGACAAATTAATATTTCCTTGTGAACGTACCACGGCCTTTATAAATTGAAAACGTCGTGTTTCTGAGAGAATGATTAGATATCTCAGAAGACATTAGAACGTCACGATTTAACCAATGGTTTACTGTTTAATATTGTATTGTATGACAGAATATATCCACAGATTCTTCATGGTTTGAATGTAAATGAGAGAAAGCTAGAAATGTACATGGGAATTATTCGATGAAAACCCACTTTATTCCACCTTTGATTTCCTTGCGTCCGAACTGGAAAGTCGGTGAATTTGAATGCAGCGACAAGAAACCGTCGCTCTGATTGGTCAAAACGCCATATCATTATTGACGATGTATGGTTTCCTCAATGATGATCAAAGGATTAATAAATCACTATATTTCACTGGCAAGCAAAATATGATAAAACATTTTTCTGATAGATGTGGTACTACTGATTATATCTGAAGCCTAGGATAGATATGGTTCATAAGCCCTTTCACTGATTCGATGTAGGATCGATATCGGTTCTGTAATATATTCATCACGTTGTATTCTTCTTACAGGTATGGGGAAATACAAAAAACACATTTCGTCAATAACCAATCAGTATCGACAATTGGAAAACATCCATATTATACCTGTCACAACACCGTCATTATGAATCAGATTACAGAATGAATGTTAGGAGTTTGACCTAGCTTTTATGTTATATGAACTTCCGGTAACATCAGAGATTTGTCCAAAGTGACAACAACGCGTGAAATTTTCCGAAACGGCTAACCAGACAGACTGCTAGCTTGACAAGTCACACTGGATGAACTTTTGATAACCTGACATGATGTATACTGTAACACAAGGTAACGCAAAGCACGTGGACAAAGACTAGCGAATATATCCTCAATATGATGTCACGCTCACCATATCATATCTTCAAAATATCATATTCTAAATTGGAATTAATAAATTTAAGATGAATAATACATTATGAAACGATATTTTCCCAACTTCATGAGTAGTTTAAATACTGTCACTTTATTCCCGATAAAAAAGTCATATTTATCAGCCATGAAAAAAACGGTAAAACCCCGGTTTCAATGTGTTTCTAAAAGTAGATTCATGACATGATGAAAAGTGCATCGTCAACATTACACTGCTTACAAAACATTGGTATTTATTTTGCAATTATGAAGAAATTTTTAATTAGAAAACTCCTTATAGTACGTCTTTCCATGAGACGCAAATCAAACTATGATATGAACATATGCCTCTGAGTAAAAGCCAGTCTTCCAAATTTATTACATATTAAGGTGATTTGGAATGGATTTTCCTCTTAAATTATTATCTTGCCTTCTTTGCCTTGTTCTTGCCAAGACAGCTGCAAGTACACATACAATACGCAGTATATAACATTGATCATCCGGTGGTATGTTAATATTGTCTACACAATGTTTGGATCTCACCGTAGGATGGACGTAGGTAGGAGTTACACAAAACACATGATATCAGACAGGCGCTTGTAAACAGCAACTGTATCATAGTGATGATCTGGGGAAAACTGAAATTATGCAAATCAAAAGTAATTATGCAATCAATAATGTGTCATTATCATTATGTTTACATGCCTTATTGTTAAAAAGATACCAACATGCTAACTTGAGCACAGTCCAAACTCAAATTCAATCAAACTAGTGTAAAATATGAACAGAAGAAAATTTTACACGAAGATTCTTGAAAACTACAAGCTGAATAAGACAAGGTGTTTCGGAAGGGTAAGCGTACTATTAATTCAAACCATACAGGTGCATTTATTGAGATAATTTATTTAAATAATCTACTCCAATTACATGTATTCTTGTGATGGGAACGCCTATACAAAATGATCTGTTCCAAGAACAGGTATACATTTTACCCATGTAAGGATATACCTAAATAACCATCTACTTCAAACGGAAACAGGTAGGTATTGATTTACTTACTTTGACGACTTAAAGATACGAAATCCACTCCAGGTAAAACATCTGTTTTTGAATCGGATTTGAGACATATTTATATCTATCCTATACCGGAAACTACTGTAATTATCGTTTAGTAAAATTAAGTATAAGGATATTTTCTTAAAGATACGATTGGATAAGATAGATATGTAATTAAATCAGAAATATGCGTCACTGCATGTGAAGACTTGAAAGCTACAACTTGTGGTCTAACCTCAAACAGACCGCGAAGGAAATGTTATAATTTAATAAATGGAGGTCTTCTTGCACTGGTCAGTGTTATAAATTGTGACATCATGTGTTGTCAGCATTACATTGATTCCTTTCAAATCCTTTTTATTTAATCACAGACGTGTTCTTTTGTTTTGCGGGTCCTTTGTGGTATAAATGTGTGTAGATTGCGTATCTTAATTGTGTATGCAAAATATTTGTGGCGATTTTTCAACTGAAATTTGATTCTTAATATCATTTCGAAAAGTCTTATTACAATTTTGGACTATAAGACAAATGATCAGTCACGATTTAGGTGAAATTATAGTTACTTCATATACAAGACATCGTCAACTGATAGACAAATTCGTAACACAGAGTTTCAAACTATTCAGGTTAATCAAACATTTTGTGAAATTGTACGAACGTCTAAGTGATCTCATCGGGAAATATTCAATTTCCTTATACGATTTTAAGCTATATGTGTTTGATGTCCGTTAGTTTTCCTGTTGGTTTCGTTTTTGTATACCGTGTCCTCGTTTGAGACTGTGACTTTACTTTCTGGGATTGTCAAAGATTTACGGGTCATCGATAAAGCAGAAGATGCTTACGCTTTCGGAACACCTGGTCTTATTCTCCCTGTACTTTTTTTCTGGAGTCTCCTCGTAAATCTTTCTTTTATCATATTTTGTCCTAGTTAAAATGAATTCTAGGTTGGATTGTGATTGTCTTGACATGTTGCTTTTCAATAGCTGAAATCTCTCTCTCTCTCTCTCTCTCTCTCTCTCTCTCTCTCTCTCTCTCTCTCTCTCTCTCATATATATACGCCGAATACTTCATGAAAAGGGAATACACCATGTTATACAGAATACTTAAAAGAGGATGATGAGATATAGAATAAGAATAATAAGGTTATCAGTTGTGAATTGAGCTACCAACACTTTTAGTATGGAAATCAACAGAAATATGAATGATTCTGAAAAAGTTCAACCCGTTTATGCCACACAATATTCATTCGTCAAAACAACAGCCTTCAAACATAGCAGTTATGATGACAAATGATCGATGTGCAATATGTCACCGAGTTAATGGCGAGGTGACCAAGGACACATGAGGCCGTAAAAACAACAATATACATATGAAAAGAGTAGGGGAAATAAACAATGATATACACAGGTTTGTACATCATAATCAACAGCATACATTAGTGCCATAGATGGCTTTGTAAGTAACAGAAAGTAGCCAGAACTAGGTTTTACTATGTTAATTATATAGTAGTTGCGTAATAGCATTGTGTCATATCATTACCAAACCAGAATTGTCATCAAAGGAATGAAACAAAAAAAACATAAACCAAACAACATGGTACCCCAAGTAAATAACCAGCAGAAATGTCAATATAGATTTAGTGATCGTACAATGTAGATATTCATGATTGTACTACCACAGCAGAGTACGGTACAGTTATCAAACCGACAGGGCCTTTAAGCTCTACTCAGCGAGCTGTAATTAGGTATAAGATATATCTGAACGACCTACGGATTTTGATTCGGCTTTCCTTTGTTACATATATGTATATATATGTACGATGGTCTACAACCTCTTGCTGAATTAACGGATATATCTGTATAATTTATATGATGTTGGTGACGTGATAAAGGGACAAATTGCCTCGAAAATTTGATAATTGACTTATCCGTGCTGGCAATATTATTTCACTGATTTACTGTTCAAATGTATAATCGAGATGAAATGTACTCATCGAAACGGCACACACGAATTTTGAAACTTCCGATTTATTAAAACATCTATTCACATATTTTCTATACACTCAAATGTACCACGCTGAGAAAAAACGATCGATGAAATTGTGTTGTTCTGATAAGGGTTTGGCAGCTCTTACAATTGATTTATATTAGGGATAATGTAAAATCATTAGAATTGTGATATCTACTAACAAAGGAGTCACAACAATTATCACGTCAGTACCTTTCTATCATTATCTCCGTACTGCTTAGTTATCGCAGTTAAATACTACTTAAGTGGTAGTCACTGAATAAACAATCTCAGACATGTCAGGTAAACTATCTCAGGTGTCAGGTAAACTATCTTAGGTGTCAGGTAAACAATCTCAGGTGTCAGGTAAACAATCTCAGGTGTCAGTTAAACAATCTCAGGTGTCAGGTAAACTATCTTAGGTGTCAGGTAAACAATCTCAGGTGTCAGGTAAACAATATCAGGTGTCAGGTAAACAATCTCAGACGTGCCAGGTAAACAATCTCAGACGTGTCAGGTAAACAATCTCAGGTGTCAGGTAAACAATCTCAGACGTGCCAGGTAAACAATCTCAGACGTGTCAGGTAAACAATCTCAGGTGTCAGGTAAACAATCTCAGGTGTCAGGTGTACAATCTCAGACGTGTCAGGTAAACAATCTCAGGTGTCAGGTAAACAATCTCAGGTGTCAGGTAAACAATCTCAGACGTGTCAGGTAAACAATTTCAGGTGTCAAGTAAACAATCTCGGATGTCAGGTAAACAATCTCAGGTGTCAGGTAAACAATCTCAGGTGTCAGGTAAACAATCTCAGGTGTCAGGTAAACAATCTCCGATATGTCAGATAAACAATCTCAGGTGTCAGGTAAACAATCTCAGACGTGTCAGGTAAACAATCTTAGGTATCAGGTAAATAATCTCAGACGTGCCAGGTAAACAATCTCAGACGTGTCAGGTAAACAATCTCAGACGTGCCATGTAAACAATCTCAGGTGTCAGGTAAACAATCTCAGACGTGTCAGGTAAACAATCTCAGGTGCCAGGTAAACAATCTCAGACGTGTCAGGTAAACAATCTCAGACGTGTCAGGTAAACAATCTTAGACGTGCCAGGTAAACAATCTTAGACGTGCCAGGTAAACAATCTCAGACGTGTCAGGTAAACAATCTCAGACGTGCCAGGATAACAATCTTAGACGTGCCAGGTAAACAATCTCAGACGTGTCAGGTAAACAGAGGTTCCACAACAAGAGGTTCAATATGATTTACAGGGACGAGGACAGAGTCCGAGTCTCCAATACATTACTTACCCTCTATGGTTCTGCAGAGGTTCAGTATAATTTACAGAGACGAGGACGGACCCCGAGCCTCCTATACATTACTGTCCCTCTATGGTTCTATAGAGGTTCAGTATAATTTACAGGGACGAGGACGGACCCCGAGCCTCCAATACATTACTTACCCTCTATGGTTCTATAGAGGTTCAGTATAATTTACAGGGACGAGGACGGACCCCGAGCCTCCTATACATTACTGTCCCTCTATGGTTCTATAGAGGTTCAGTATAATTTACGGGGACGAGGACAGAGCCCGAGCATCCAGTACATTACTGTCCCTCTATGGTTCTATAGAGGTTCAGTATAATTTACGGGGACGAGGACAGAGCCCGAGCCTCCAGTACATTAGTGTCCCTCTATGGTTCTATAGAGGTTCAGTATAATTTACAGGGACTAGGACAAAGCCCGAGCATCCAGTATATTACTGTCCCTCTATGGTTCTATAGAGGTTCAGTATCATTTACAGGGAAGAGGGCAGAACCCGAGTCTCCAATACATTACTGTCCCTCTATGGTTCTATAGAGGTTCAGTATAATTTACAGGGACGAGGACAGAACCCGAGTCTCCAATACATTACTGTCCCTCTATGGTTCTATAGAGGTTCAGTATAATTTACAGGGACGAGGACAGAGTCCGAGCCTCCTATACATTACTGTCCCTCTATGGTTCTATAGAGGTTCAGTATAATTTACAGGGACGAGGACAGAGCCCGAGTCTCCAATACATTACTGTCCCTCTATGGTTCTATAGAGGTTCAGTATAATTTACGGGGACGAGGACAGCCCGAGCCTCCAGTACATTACTGTCCCTCTATGGTTCTATAGAGGTCCAGTATAATTTACAGGGACGAAGACAGACCCCGAGCCTCCTATAGAGGTTCAGTATAATTTACAGGGACGAGGACAGACCCCGAGCATCCAATACATTACTGTCCCTCTATGGTTCTGTAGAGGTTCAGTATAATTTACGGGGACGAGGACAGACCCCGAGCCTCCTAAATAATAACGATTTTCTACGGTTAGTCATTTTGTGTTGTGGTCATCTTTTGTCGTCTGCCCAAACTTTTCCATTTTTGTTTACAGTCAATGTTGCCCCAATGCTGAAAGACCAATCCAAGATACCCCAGCTCGGCTTGTTATTTTTTGCGATGTAAGGGGGACAACTCTCATAAAACTGATCCAGTTCAATTTCACAATTTATATTTCACAAGCTTTTACCTTTT